GAGATAATAAAAAAGGAGGAAGGAAAATGTTCTCAGCAGCCACCTAAAATTAAAAAAAAAAGGGGAAAGGTTTATTTAAATATTTTTTTTTATATATTTAAAGCTTTTAAAATTCTTTTAAAGGCCCAGCCCTTTCGCCCTTCGCCTAGTCAAACCCCGCTTTTTTAACACCCTAACTTTCAAGCAAAATTTTTTAATAACAAAATTTGAAAAAGGGTATAAACAAGCAGAAGAAAAGGGATTTGGCCATAAGGGCTGGTAAAACCCTACCAATGTAAGCTGTAAATAAGCCCAAAGAGCGCGTAAGTCCCTTTTTATTACTTATATTCCCCGTAGTAAGAGAATTTTGCTTAAATTTAAATTACTTTGTTTATAAAGTAGCTTATTGCTTTTTGTTATAGCTTGGATTAGCGCCTACGTAATTTGATAAAAGCAGAGGACTGTTCCTTAAAAGATATATATTATCTACATGATAGTCATATTAGCTCGGCAAGAAGGCGCAGCGCCCGTCTCTATTGATTCTTTTAACTCTTAGCGCGTCCGCTAGCTTGACAGTCTTCTCGGGAATAGATATTAAGAAACCGTGTAGTCGAATTAAGGACGACGATCTTTAATTAGTCGACGATTTATTAAGCATCAAAGCTAGTAATCAATAAGCTTTGTATCGCCGCTATTACAAGGGCAGATGCTACGCCTGTATTGTCTGCAGATATCTTCCGCACAGTCACAAGGCTAGTTGCAGTATGTGCAGAAGGTAGACCATGAGAAGATTAAGATTCTCTCGTAAAATTAGGAGAGGCTAGAGCAGCACCTAATATCTGAGGTCAGAGCAGTGTCGGGGATCAGCATCCGTGTACGCATCTTATGTAAGAGTAACTCTAGGCACTGACTGTGCACACAGTAGCGTTAGAAGTGGGAGCAAACACGCTATCTCTAAACGTTGAGTACGTGAATAGTACAGCCAGCAAGCTAGCCCTCGACCGTGTAGGAGTCCGACACTCCTCCTTGACTACCTCAGCATAAATGAAGCACCAAAGGTTCGCCTAGTCGTCTATTACAGTAGTCTTAACAAACACTAATGGAAATAGAGCATACCCTCGTGCACCAGCGGCAACTGAACCATAGGCACCAGCCCCTTTGCCATGACAAGCCTAAGGTGAGTCAGGAACAGAAGGGGATCATATGGTAACGCCGCCCCAGGAAGGGGACCGACGCAGGCTACGCGCAAGCCGTACGCAGTATGCGCACAGCGTATTAGATGCACATCGTGAACTAGAAGCGGTGCTGGTGGCGCAGGCTGCGTGGCGCAGTCTGCGCACAGGCCACAGCACGTGCTAGCGCACGGGCCAAGTAGAAACGGGGTCGCGCCTGTCCTGCGCACTTGGTGCGCTAGAGGTGCGCCTACGATAAAGAGCGCCTCCCGCACTCTCTTAGAGTGCAGAAGGCAAGAATTAGCTATTGAATATACGGCTGCTTCCTTCTGTTAAGAAGATACCTCCTTGCCTGCCTAACTTACCTAGCCTACTTAAGTACACCTTTAACACTACTTTAATTATTACTAAATTAGACTAGCATTCTACTTTTTAGTTAATCTCTTTATAGTTGTAGAACTGTAAAAAACTAATATATAGCTATACTAAGACTACGCTATAGTAGTCTTTAAAAAGGTATATGTTTTAGTAGGACTATGCTATAATAGCTTTTAAGAGTGTAGTTGTTTAATATAGTAAAATAAATATGCTATACTATATAGCGTAAAGGTAAAATTTATATTAAAAACATTTTATATATTTATAAATTTATATTACTAGGCTTATATATTTAGGAATATTTTTAGGTTTACTATACCTTATACTTGCTAAATCTCCTCTCTTATAAAATTGCTGCTTGCTATTTGCCTTCTAGCTTGCAGGAGATGTAGGACGGTCCTTGGTAGACGCACTGTCGACGCCTTGCTCCGTCATCCAGAAGTCCGTTCTCTTCCGGATGCCCCATTCTAAGGGGACATCACTATGGTCGCTTCTAGCAGCAGACGGATGGCGGCGTATTGTGTTCGCAGCCTGTGAATTGTTCGTGTTTGCGTTGTCTTGAAGCCGGCTCCCCTTCGGACCTGTTTGGAAGCCAGAGTTGTTGTAATAGCTACTATTCGCCAAGTTTCCGTTACCATCACCAAAGAAGTAAGCGTATATCTGTCGGCTAACGGCGAGGTTGGCGGCAATCACGCCAAGGAAGAGCTCCAGGTTGGACCAGATAGCAGTGATGGCGTAGACATCTAAACATTTTCAGCACGGCCAACAGTGTATAGGGCTTCTAGTAGACATACAGCTTAAGTCTGAGGTAACAGTTCCAAGAGAAGCCGCCCTAGTTATGCCAAAACCGGTAGCTCTGGATGGTTGTTAACTCTACTCTCGCGGAACAAAATGGTCGGGAGAACATACACTAGACCGAGACTTGTTAGGGCCCAGACGGACAGCTTAGTTTTAAATAGAAGACGCAGGTTCCAAATAACGAATATAGGTAGCAGTGAGCAGATGATGTCCGTCACAATTGAATATGCTAGAAGCAATTAGCGACAGCCATATGAAGGTTGTGGGCGTCAAGACTAACCGATTGTAAAATAAATGGCGTAGATTCGTACTTTGGCATCCCAGCACACGCCGTTGCCTGCCCAGTAGGCGCTGACGGGCGTGCACTCGGCCAAGAGAATGATGATGCAACCAAGATTGGTCACGACCAGTCCGGTCATGATCGCCCAGATTATATGCTTTAACTTTTTGGAGTCTTTGATGCGGAGTACGAGGAACAAGATGGAGCATTTGAGTACACAAACACCCGCGAATAGATGGAGCTGGGCAACCCACCCCAACATATTGTTATGAACATATTTATCGTGGGAGATATACCACCGATGACGGCCGTTGCCGGACTTTGCCTGGGCAACCTGTATGAAAAATCGAGATATGCAGATAATCGCCGCAGCTATCATGGTGTAGTCATCCCTGCCCATACGACGCATGGCAAGCCGCACCCAGATGCGAACAGTTGTAGTAAGGAATACTAGGAAGATCAGGACAGCTGAGATGCTAATGAGGACGGGGCTGACATTGATGTCACGAGGAAGCGGGTCTGGTGGAGTGGCGGTAGACATTCCGTAAATTGAAGAATCGGGGTTCTTCAGTATCCACGATGATGCAAATTGTTGTCATGGCCGCAGGAACCACGAGAAAGAGAGCAAGCATGGGAAGAAATATACCCTTATTGTTTTTGACTCTACTCTCTTCTGCCCCTTTCGTCGTCGTCGGTCGAAGGCGTATACGTGATTTGCCATGCCTGAAGCACACAAAACATGCTCCTACTCGTATCTGCCTCCGATCATTCGAACTACACATGCAAGGACTTTTTCTACTCCCCTGACATATCTTACCGAGAACGTACAGTGCCCACCTTGCTTACCAGATTAGGCACCTTGGCCACTGGTAAAATATAAGGGGCCAGAAAATTGTATGCGGTACTCGTGTAAGTACTCCGTAAATAATTACAACTGCTCGTAATTTCGGCCGGCGTTCCGGCCGAGTACATCGTAAAAGTCCGGCCCCGTACTCCGTAATCGCGCTCAAAAGTCGCTTATTATAATGAAGGCTATTGTTTTTATTACATAATCTAATCAATTAGCCACATGCCCTTTGCAGTGTCGCGTGCATATACACGCTCCATTAGTGGGGTTGCCGAGCCTTTTTACATAGCAGTACTCCGTTCGTGCAGGGAAAGAAACTCGCGTAAAGTATCCTACTCTGCACGGAGCACATAGTACGATACGAGTACGAGGTGACTAGGGCCAATGGTATGTCCCCAGAAATCCCTAATCTACTTAGCAACAGTGAACGGTAAGAATAAAAATTGTCGCGATTTCAAATTTTATAACGTTCGCGTATGTGCTCGGTAATAAGATACTATACAGAGTAGTCCGTCCATACGTATAGGCTTTGAAATTTAGGTTTCGGCTTTAGTATAATGTCCAAAGGGCTGATCCGGTTCGGCAATGCAATATTAGCTACTTACTACTCCGTACCACGAGTGTTTAATTTACGAGTACACCGTGCTCCGTACTGTGTACAGGTTCTTTATATGGTTATCATATTTCACATTGGCGTCCGAGCGCCACACCTTTCTACATTAGGTAGGGCACGCAATTAGCTTGCCATCCTTTTGCTCCATACGTCGTGCTTGTTCTACTCCGTACTCCGTACGACTTTCTGTGTCGTAAGATACGTCGTACTCCGTACCCGAACCAATTTTACTCCACAGGAGACCAGAAATTCAAACCCTTTCCAGTTTTGGGCCTCGCTTCTCTTCAGATCTAATACAAGTGGCACATCGAGACTTTTTTACTCCATGTCAAATCAGTACGAGTACACGTGGTAGACTCGTTTTTGTGTGGCACTGCGCCACGTTGTAGAGCTTGTAAGATCTAATGCTACCCGTACTCCATGTATATGGTCTAGCACTCCGTACTCTTGCTTCATATAAAGGTTAGGAGCTATGTCGATTGCGTGTTTACGTTGTATAGAGTAATTAGAGCAACGCCCATCGATTTATACTCCGTGCAGCGTTTTCTTGAGTAACCGGACCTCGCTTGTAACCTTCTACGGAGTACGCGTTCCCATACTCGATTTCGATGCCCTTTTATTACGCAGGAGTATGGAGTATTGGAGGGCAAAACAGCTGAATGCGGACGCCTGATCCGATGTGAACGCTTATATTATCCACCTAACAATTACGAATCTTTCCATAATACGCAGTCCGCCTACGTACGTCGTAGTACTACGCACAAACTGTCGTAGTGCGAGGGGTAGCCTTAATGCAGGAACAACCCCCTGCACCATTGGTTACTCAACATATACGGAGTATATAGCATTCGAATGCGTCGATCTTCGTGCAGCACGTTTCTTTCGTTTCACTTTTCATTCTGTACACAACTCACCCACTAGGAAAAGACGAAACCATGCTTAACCCTTTATGCAACGTTCTTACCCTCGCGGTGGCTGTATCAGCTACCTGCATAAGCATGTACGATTATGTAAGTCTAGCCGAACTGTTTGCCCACCAGCCCGTTCTGTGCTAATAGTCATTAATTGCAGGTTGTCGTGGGAGGTGGTACCGCTGGTGTTGCTATTGCCGTCCGCCTTAGCCAAGGCCTTCCCTCTGCCAGCATTCTCCTGATTGAGGCTGGCCCCATTGTGTGGGATGAGCTAAAGATTAATGTTCCAGGCATGAAGGGCTCTGCACTGGGTGGCAAGTACGACTGGAATTTTACTACAGTCGCCCAGTTGAGTGCACACAATCGGGTCTTCCCAGTAAACCGTGGCAAGGTGCTCGGTGGGTGTTCAGCTCTTAACCTGATGACCTACAATCGTGCGGTGGTCAATGAGTACGATACGTGGGAGGACCTCGGCAACACAGGGTGGAACTGGCAGAACATGATGGCTGCCATGAAGAAGTCGGAGAACTTCACCGGTACCAACACTGCGACCTATGGTTCCCCATCCGGTGTAGGCGACAGTGGTCCCGTCCATGCTGTGGTCAACCGCTTCGTTCCTGAGCAACAAGATACCTGGATCCCCACTATGAATTCGCTAGGCATCGCTCACAACCCGAGCTCGCTTGACGGCGACTCACTAGGTGTGATGTACCAACCGAGCAGCGTCGACCCCACCCACTACAACCGATCGTACAGTGCCAATGCCTATATGCCCCTAGCCGGCTCGAATCTCTACATTCTCAGCGAGACCACTGTGGCTAAAATCGACTTTTCTGCAGACAGTGGTAGCCAGCGCGCGACCGGCGTCACCCTGCAAAACGGAACTACCATCGCAGTTCGCAGGGAAGTCATCCTATCGGCCGGTGCCGTCCAGAGTCCGGTCCTGCTTGAGCTCTCGGGTATTGGCAACGCTACTCTCCTGTCCGCCGCTGGAATAACGACGATCATCGATCTCCCTAGCGTTGGCGAGAACTTGCAAGACCATCTGCGCGTCATGACCTCCTACCAGCTGAAGTCTAACTACTCTTCGCTTGACCTTTTTAAATACAACGCTACTTATGCCGCTGAGCAGCTTTCTCTTTGGAATGACGGCCAGTACTCGCGGTACGACTACACCGGCAGTGCCTTCGCTATGCAAACCTGGAACCAGACACTCGGTAGTGACGCCACACTTGTGAGCCTGGCAGAGCGGGCTATTTCAGACGACGCCGGTGTTGTGCAGAAGAAGAAGTTGGAACTTCTGTCCGATGATTTAGTTCCCCAAATCGAGATCATCTTCTCCGATGGATACACAGGTTTTAAAGGTTACCCTTCTAGCGATTCGCCACTTTTTGGAAAGAACTTTTTTTCACTCCTTGCCGTCATTATGCACCCCCTAAGCCGCGGTAGTATACACATCGACCCGAGCGCCCCATCGGGAAAGCCTATCATTAATCCTAATTATCTATCAAATGACTATGATCTGGAAGCTGTTACCCAGGCTGCCAAATACAACCGCAAAATTGCACAGACGGCGCCGATGAACGAGTTGTGGGATATCGAGTACGAGCCCGGCCTGTCTACAGTGACCACAGATGCAGACTGGAAGGATTATGTCCTCAACACTACCCTCAGCATTTATCATCCTTCGGGTACCTGCTCTATGCTTCCTAAGGCCGATGGAGGTGTTGTCGACTCTAATCTGACTGTTTATGGAACCACCAACTTGCGCGTCGCAGATGCTAGCATCATTCCTCTTCTCATTTCTGGCCATCTCCAGACAGCCGTATATGGTATTGCCGAGATCGCTGCCGAAAAAATCATTAGCGCCGCATGATAAATGAGTCGTCTACATGTAATTTCTTATTGTATAAATTGATATCCGCTATGATAATCTAAAGGTCGATTAATGCAAAGGAAATGGAGGTTGTTATTGTATATAGGTATAAAGCAGCTCGATGGTATTGGAAGTGCTTCTCTCGGTTTTATTGTACTTGGAATAAAGACTACAAATAAGATAGTACTAAGCATCTTCCCACTACTTCTTCTCCCTTTCCGCGGACTGTAGAGTGATGACGACGAGAAACGATGGTTCCTAAAGGTATGTTAGGATTATTTAATTCAAAAGAAAATGCGGTGTCAAAATATGTTACATATCTCTGCCTACCATGCAATGTAAAGGGTTCCCTCTTTTGCACATGGTGTAGGTGGAGTAAAATTTTGATAGCAGATGACAACATACGACAAGCGAAAAGGCTAGGAGCTAACCTACTGTTACATACATCCTCATCTAAAAGCTAGTCTGCTACAGTCCTTTCCTGTTAGCTTAAGCTAACTAACCGTGGGCCTTTAATCAGTACTATCTCGAGTTACTTACCTTGCTTTAAATTCGGGAGTTTTTTTCGGGCAAACACATGCAATCTTGTCTGGCTGGTACACGATTAGCTAAGGCTGGCTAAATAGGCAGGGTATACAGAGTACGCTAAGCTTTATTACGTTGTACTTATGAAGCCCTATTTCGTCGTGGTATTTAAGATTATATATCTCTACTCGGAATACAACACTAGGGAATGACAGCGTTCAATTTCGACGAGGAAGGGATATAGGGCACATCTTAACGACGGTAGTAGTACAGACTTTGAGGGGCGCTTTTTGTAAAAACTATAGGGTTTTTAGATAGCAGAGAGAGTATAGCCGCGATTAATATAATAACCTTCTTTACTACAATAACGAAGAATAGTTATGGCTCCTTGATGACAAGGAGGACAACGCTTATCCCTTGTATAAGTACAATGTTATAGAATATGGCCTGTGGTAACGTCTTTTCAATTCATGAATCCCCCAAGATAGTCTGATTTTCCAAGGGGGACACCGTGAGAGCGTAAAATTGCATACGTTGTCTGTAAATGAAAGAAAACATTCGGAAGGGCATAATTCAGCACGTACGCCTTACTAGGAAGACTCAGAGCTCCGGGACCACCCATTTGCCTGTTGTACAATACCATGCATCCATCAGCTTTCTAAACTTATCTCTTGGGATTGCAAAAAATAGACAATATGATGTTAGGTCACTTACAGCTCTACCATAGTATCGTCTTTTCCTTCCAAAGACTTCGGATCAATTTTCTGTAAGAGCTCCGCCGTCTTTTTTACGCGGGCTTTGAGGCCCATAATGGTAGATTCATCATCAGGCCAATTGCCGGGATCAATACCAGTCAATCGCCAGACTGACTTCTTGATAGTGTTGGACACAACCTGAACCTGGAAACTGAGAGGCTTCATATCAACGGTCAGAGCGACTGTGGCATAAGCATCAGGGTCCTTACCACACCCCTTAGCATGGCTCTCTGCCTTCTCGAGGATGTGGTTAAGGGTTTTAAGAGACTTAAGGAACGTCGTGATTGAGATATCATAAAGGGTGATGGCCGGCATGATGACGGGTTAGGACGAAATAGCTGTGTGAATTTGTAGGGATGTACGCTGCCAAAAAAAAAAAAAAAACGGTATCTAGCATTTAAGAGGGGGAGGCAGATGGCGTCATTCAAAGGGCAAATGACAGAATAGAAGGTTAACCACCTAACTACCCTAAATTCACAGCTAATACGATTTTAACTGCAGGCACTTTGTAGCCTCCCAAAAATTTCTAATCTATAATGAATATTCTATAATATGCTTTGCAACAATGTACAATAGGCGTATGTGTAAATGGGTGCGACAATACGTATATATCTAGCTAACAACGTATGTCTTACAAACACTAAATATAAAGAGCAAAATCTAGAAAAACGTAACAAATACTTTGTTTGTTAGTAAGTAACAAAAACCAATAGCTAATTATAAGCGCTTGTCTCCTTACAAAAACATTTTACTTAATATATATAAGACTGTTGCAATTAAACTAGTTAATAAGAAATAAACAAAACAACGTACTTTAGATAGATAACACAAAACATCTTTCAATACCGTTCTTTTACTACTAACTTTAGCTATACGCTTTCTTTACCTCTTAGCTTTTTAAAATCTGTATATCTAATATTATTTTACAATCTATAAGACGCGTAGGAGTAATTATACTACGCTTTACTTTTAAGTAAAATATATAAAACGTATACTGTCTAAAGTTAATGCTGCCTAGCTTAATTAATTACTTAGCCTACCTAATTATATAGTGTTTATATAAAGACTATATATAAAAGACACTTAAAATACTATTCTCTATAAATAAGTACTACAAGTAAAATTAAATATATAAAAGTAAAATTAAAGTAGTTTAATTGTATTCAAACTATATTTTCTAGTATATACTATTCGTCTTTACAAATTACTTTAATATACGTATCTTTTATTATAAAAAAAAAACACAAATGTTTATAAATTTGAAAACGTTGATATTTTAAATATATAAACTTTTATATTATAGTACTTACTTAAGATAGCTACTACTTATAGAAATTAATAGAGTAGCGGGCCTAAATTATAAAATGGCAGGCCTACGTAATTTATTTGGCGGTTACAGGCGGCAGAATACTAAAATCGTCCCTGTGTAAGTTGTAATAAATTTACACACCACTGCTTACTTAGTAAAAGCATTACTAATATAACCAAATCAGCACAAAATGGCTTCGCTCGACGGCCTTCTCCCTTCTACCCTCCCTTCTAAAGCTGAATACAAATGCTAAGAAGCTTTATTTTAGTTAATAAAGGCCTAGGCTGCACTACGCGGATATACGTTTATTACTTGAAAGTTAACAACTAAAACATTAAGCAAGCGTACGGTAACTTATACATACAATAAGTTTAGCTGTATACAATAAAGCTTTAAAATTGTACGTAAAAGAAGTTTAATAACATAGCATACTAGCTGCTTTTTTTTTAGTACTAGCAAAGAAGACTAGCAAAGGTTAGGCCTCAAAGCACCGCCTTAATTTAAAGGTTTATACGCATAACTATAAGCCTAGCTAAGAACCTTTAGCATGTTTTACTTATTATGCATCAAATACTTATTAAAAGTTAGTGATATTAAAGTACTTTAAAGGCTAGATATAAGGGTATTCGACGCACTTGCCCTACGCACTAGTTCGGCGACCCACCGCTTACTAAGCGTTAGACTTAACAAACTATCTTAATACGTAAACAAGGCAAAGCATAGCTACTTAGCTATACTATACCTGCTTAGGGTTACGCTATTGCGCACCTCCTATTTATATATAAATTAAATAGTAGGCTCTTACCTACTAGTCTTTTATAGTTTATTAAGTTAAAGTCTTAATATAATAGTATAAACACGTTTAAGCCTTTATAACTATATATTATATATAAACCTTTATATTCTTTAACTTTTATTTTATAAGAAGCAATGTTTAATTATTAAGCGGCTACTTTATAAGAATTATATAAGCTTTTAGTAGTAAAAGATATACTAATACTACTCTTTATGCTAATGCGTAGCAGCTATACCTTATATATAAAATTAAAAGGCACTTTTACTTTATTTAATAAATTAAATATAAAACTAGTATAAGTACTACTAAATAATACTTTACTAACTTAAAAGCCTTTATAAAGTAATTTATATACTTATATTATATAAACATTAAAGGCGCTAACTAATATTATAGCTATAAAGGCTATAAGACTATTACTTAGTAACTAATACTAAGATAATAAGCTACTATAATTGTAAGAGGCTAGTGTGCAATGCGTAGTTACAAAGGCTTAACTAGTTTATACTGTTGTATTAAGACTTCAACTTAACGAACTATAGGAGATTGGTAGGCGAAGGCCTGCCAGCTAATATATACGTGGCTAGAAGATGCGGTGTAGCGCAAACCTAGTAGGGCGTGGCGCAGCTAAGTGGCTGTGCTAGTCCTGTGCAACGTGTTAGGATAGTTTGTTAAGTCCGCCGCTTAGTAAGCGACTAGTTGCCGAACTAGTGCGTAGGGACGCGTGTGTAGAATACCCTTACACTATCCCCCCCCTCCCTAGGTGACGCCCCTGTCAGCCTAAAGGTGCACACGCGGCAGCCACTTGCTTGTTAAAAAACCTCCCCTTGTAGAGTTAGGAAAAAGAGTTAAGCGCTTTAGGTTATTGGCTGTCGCCGAGCGGTCGCGGACCGCTTGCTTGTGCGACTGCATTCGGGTAACGTGGAAGCGCACACGTACTACTTAGTCTATAGCGGCAGTAAACGCTAGATCCTGCCTAATGCACAGGTCGTCCTGTTCGTTAGAGCTCCCTAGGAGGCGTGCAGCTCGGATCCTAGTCAGGGAACGCTTAGGTTGCCGCCGATAGGTGTTGCAAGGGGGCTAGCCTTAGACACTAGGTGTATAGGGGTGTAGTGTACGCTAACTGAAAACGGCGGCGTAAGGCTTGCGACTTCCGACTACTAGCAAGGTAGGATAAAGGCAATAGCAGCTGTTTGTTGCTTACTAATTGTAGAACTGTTGCTTACTAGACAGCAAAGGCAGTCTACTGCTAGAATGTCTCTTTGTTTAATTTTAGACGTTTTTTACCTTGCTATTAAAGTAAGGTTAAGTAAGTTCTTAAGACGCATTTAAACGTTTAAGAACGCAGCTTTTTTATTGCCTTAAGGTATAAAAGAGTAGGTGCATTCTATAATTTAAGATAAACTTATCTATACTTATAAAAATGCTTCTGCCTTTTTAGCTTTTTTTTCTTTAATCTTACTTACGTAGTAAGTTAATATAATAGTTTGCGCCTTTACACAGCAGCTAGCTAATAATCGCTTATAGATAATGTTTAACTAAAGCCGCTTTTAAGTCTTAATAGACTTTTTTATAGATGCAAACCCTATAAAACGCTCTTTCTAGGCATACGCACCATCTCTTAAGAGCGTAGGTCTTTGCTAGCACAGCGTTCGCTAAGCAATAGCTAACCTTATAGTAGGCTTTATGTCTAAACTGCGTCCTTAAAGCCTATTTAAACGTCTACTACAAATTCTTATATATAGCCACGCTAAAGAACCCGGCGCGCTGCGTTAGTTGTATAGCTAACAACACGTTATGCTTGCTAGTAAGTGCGTTAACTTGTGTGCGCTAGTAGCCGATTGCTAACTAACAGCTCTTTAAAGAGATTAAAGGCTTAGCCTGATATATTTAAGAATTTCTAGCCGGCATAAACAAGTTGCTGCTTTAGCAGATAACGGTTAACAATATTGTTACAACGCTAGGCGATTGCTGCGCAATCGCCTAAAGGTTAATAGCTTTAATGGCGATGACTAAAGAACTTAGCCGCGCCTTATAAGAAGATAAGTTAAAGCCTCTAGCGACCGACTAGCGCTTTTAGCACAAACGTTTTAAGATAGTATAATAGGCTGCATTGCGCCTTAGTATCCTTTACTAGTACTAGCAAAAGCTAGAGCTTATCTTAACGCCTGCGCAGTAGTTGGCAAAGGTAGCCTAGCTTCTACCGCTAACGTCCTTAGACGTAAGCATACTATTATAGGCATAGACCTAAGTTGCTACTACCCTTAAAGTAATAGCAAGTCCTTTAATCCTTATTATTAAGTTATTGCTAACTTATTACTTAGGCTAATCTTTATTCTATTATGCTTAGCCTAGCCTAGCGCGCTATAGCTATCTAAGCTAGCTATAGCAGTACGCTTTACTATATTATAAAAGTAGAGAGGCTGCCTAAGCGGATCTTATAGACTATAGCGGCCTTAGTTAAGCTAGCCTAGATTAACTAAGTAGTAGTCTTTCTTTAGCCGCTGCCTTTAGCGGCGCTTAGCAAGCGATAGTCTTACGCTAAGTTGCTAGCCTTAGCTAAGCGCTAGCATAGCGCTAAGACTATTCTTAGTGCTATAGCTAGCGGTAGTAGGGTGGTTGCAGCAGCTAGTAGTAGTAGTAAAGCAGTATCTAGTAAGAGTACGCTAGTAAGTAGCTAGTTAATAGCTAGTAGTAGCTATATACCAGCTAGCAAAGGCTTGCCTAGCAGCAAAGAGAGGGATAAGAAGGACAGTGTTAAGGAGAGGGATAAAAGAGTAAAAGGGACGTCTATAAAGAAGGATAGTAACAAGTAGCCGGTAGCTAAGCAATAGCCTACCGATAGTGTGTTTTAGGTTTATAGCTTTAGGAGGCGCCTTTAAAGCTAAAATAAGTAGTTTATAATGTGCAATTACGCAAGAAATAGCTAGAGTAGTTAACTAACAATCGGTTAGCATATAGCTAGCTGTTGCCTTATAGTCTTCTTATTTCTTATAAGTGCGTTTTGTAGTCTTTTAATAAGACTATAACTTATAGCTAGCATACGCTAGGTGCTCTTTAGGTTCTTAGGTATTATACTTAGCCGGCCAGCCTTTCTATTTTACTAGGAACTAGGTTTGCAAACCTTTGCTAAGGTAAGTAATAATGTCTTTAACCTTATACTCCTCTTAGTCTTTTACTATTTCTAGGAACAAAAGCTTTTCTTTATCT